GATCCCATCCGGCCCCATCGACTTGTGCACATCCAAGTGCCGTAGCAGGTCACCAACCAGTTCTTCGTGGATGGTGAGGGCCACATCCTGCTCCCCGTCCCCTTCCACCAGTTCTGGGTACTGGGTATCCAGAGAGCAACCGGTTTTACCACTAAAGACTGAGGCAAAGAAGGCATTGAGCACCTCCGCCTTTTCCTCATCTCTTGTAACTAAGTTTCCCCCCGCATCCAGTAAAGGATGGAGATTCTCCTTAGTCCTCCTTTTTGTGTTGATGTATTTATAAAAGCGTTTTTTGTTATCTTTAACGGCAGTAGCCAGCTTGAGCTCCAGATGAGCTTTGGCCTTCCTAATTTTGTCCCTGCACAGCCTCGCTACATCCTTATAGTCCTCCTTAGTGGCCTGCCCAATTTTCCAAAGATTATAAACCCTCTTTTTCCTCCTAAGCTCAAGCCACAATTCTCTGTTGAGCCAGGCTGGTCGTCTTCCCCGCTGGCTCATCTTTGGGCACATGGGGATAGACCGCTCCTGTGCCATTAGGATTTGCCTCTTGAATAGCACCCAGCCTTCCTGAACCCCTCTGCCCTTCAGAACCGCCTCCCATGGGACTCCACCAACCAGTGTCCTGAGCAGCCTAAAGTCAGCCCTCCGAAAGTCCAATACAGTGGTTTTACTGGTTCCCTTCCTGGCCCCGCCAAGAATAGAGAACTCCACCATTTCGTGGTCACTCTGCCCAAGACTGTTCCCGACAATCACATCCTCCACCAGTCCTTCTCTGTTTGTGAAGAGAAGGTCTAGCAGGGCACCACCCCTGGTAGGTTCACTAATCAGCTGCGTCAGGAAGCTATCTTCCACTTTCTCCAGAAACCTCCTAGACTGCTTCCTCTGGGCTGTGTTGTGCTTCCAGGATATGTCTGGGAAGTTGAAGTCCCCCACGAGTACAAGCGCTGACGATTTCGCAACTTCTGTCAGCTGCCTGTAGAACTCCTCATCCGTCTCCTCATCCTGGTTCGGCGGTCTATAGCAGACCCCGACCAGGACACTAGCCTTGTTGTCCCTGCCGATCCTAACCCAAAGGGACTCGATCTTGTCATTCCTAGCCTCGAGTTCTACAGCATCGAAAGACTCTCTAATATAGAGAGCCACACCGCCACCCCTTCCATGCTGCCTGTCCCTTCTGAAGAGCCTATAGCCAGGCATCGCAGCACTCCAGTCATGAGACTGGTCCCACCACGTTTCCGTGATGGCAACCAAGTCGTAGCCTGTCCGCTGCACGATGGCTTCCAGCTCCTCCTGTTTGTTACCCATGCTGCGTGCATTGGTGTAGATGCACTTCAGCTGGGTCTTTACCTTATCCTCCGGCCTTGCCACTGCTCCCCCTGGTACAGCCCCAACAGTCCTCGCTCCAGCCCCATCCCCCTTCTTACCTAGTTTAAAGCCCTATCAATGAGCCCCACCAGCTCCTGGCCCAGGATCCTTTTTCCCCTAAAGGATAGGGACCCGTCTACGGCCACCAGACCAGGTGCTGAGTAAACTGCCCCATGGTCGAAAAACCCAAGATTTCTGCGTAGGCACCAGCCCCGGAGCCACGTGTTTAACAGGTGGGCTTTCGTCGTCCTCTCCGTACCCCTCCCTGTCAACGTAGGGACGGACGAAAAAACTACTTGCACTCCTGCTCCGTCCACTAACCGTCCCAGCCCCCTAAAGTCTCTTTTGATAGCCTTCAGGCTTCTGTTGTCAATGTCATCAGTGCCCGCCTGGATTATCAGGAGCGGATAATAATCAGAGGGGCGCACCAGGTTGGGGAGCTTCCTGGCCACGTCCCTGACCCTGGCCCCAGGGAGGCAGCAGACTTCCCTACGGGTAGGGTCAGGCCGACAAATAGGGCCCTCTGTCCCCCTAAGGACAGAGTCTCCCATGGATAATGACAGGATAATGGCTGCCCCGGAGCAGAAGCTCATTCTGCAGGGAAAACCTGGGGTCAGGGCTTGTGCCTTCAGATGTCTTTTGGGGAAGATAATGGCATAACAATCCAGGAAAGCCCACTGCCACTTTGGACCAGGGAGACTCCTTAAGAAGGCTTTCCTGATGGCAAGGGGAGAGATGGCAGGGTTGTAGGAGTGGATGTTTGGAGCTTGTAGCTCCTGTAGGAAGGCCAAATGTCTATCCTATTCCTCACTCCTTGTGTAGTTGCAACATGTTTGTTTCTGGGATATGTTAGGTTTACTACAAACGTATAGGACCATTGGCTTCTGATGTACCAGTGTGCCAAGTCATCCTAAGCATCTTAACCATGCTGCTGGACATGAGAAACCATAGTGCTGTCATGTTACTGTCATGTTAAAGTAGCTTCCCTGAGGAACAATATATACATACACTAGGTATCATAATACCATTTTGCCTGGAAAATGTTAGGTGAATTGGGTGCTTCATAGGTACTCTCAGGTTTCTGTCCATTCCATTAGCATATGGCTTGAATTCTGCCTAGCTTTACTGAAGTTGACAAGTAGTTCATATTTTTCTTATTAATAAAATTAATAAAATATATAGGATATATAACTATATAGTGCTTTATAACTGGCTATTTTTTTTCAGTCACTACCATAGCGTGATAGAATTTCATTCACTATAGTCAGTGATTAATCCTACACAAACTGTATATTGTTTTATCATGTTACTATTGCCTCTACTGTACTACTCATACTACTTAAGAAGCTTGCTTAAGTAATTGACAATGATGTGGGATCAAATACAGTCTAACTGGTTTGCAAGTAATAACCATGGTGTGATTATTTTTTTAAAAGTAATCAGAGAGCAACCTGGTATTTAAAATGCTTAGTCTATATTTAAAATGCTTATTTCATATAACATATATAAAGTAATTATGTAGTTACACATGACACAACTTGGGTTGTGGAATTTTATGACATAGTATTTTACTTCCTTTTTAGTAAGTTAATGTCCTAAAGGCAGTTCAATTGCTTTACCATTTTTGAAGTGTTACTAATTAAAGACAGTTGAAACAGCATATCTGAATCTAACCACAGCAAAAGCTGGAGGTGCAGAAATAAATAGCTGATTTGATGAATAATCTCAGTGTTATTGGTGTAGGCACATCCAGACTGTCAATAGTTTGTTTAAGAATATTTGCTTCCACAGCAAATGTAAATTGAAGTCCATTCTTCTTGTTAAAGCGGTCAGAGAATAACGCAGAGTTTTGTCCTACTCTTGCTTCAGGCAAGTAGGAGGCCAGATCTCTTTTTTCTCCTCTAAAAGGTATTGAGCAGGGATATGCCTCCCATTAAGGAGAGCACAGGGGCAGGGAGAGAGCAAAATCTGGTGCCAGAGAAACACAGCTAGAAAGAATGGGCAGAATCAAAGTCCTCACAAACAAGGGTGGTGATACCACTGGCAAAGTTTTTCATCTCCATGTTCTGTTGTCCTGTTTCATTCTTTAGAATTTTATTTTTGTCTTTGCAGTCTATCCTTCCCATTCCATTTCATACTGAGATAATCAATAACAGAGGTGTAAAATTTGTTGGGAAATAAACAAAGCAACCAAAACTAGGGCATTGTGCACTGGACGAAGTTCTATGTTCAGCAGCTCATTGAAAACATGCAACATTGTTTGTTGTTGATCCAATTTATAGTTTTTATATCTGTGCTCACCCAGAAAAGAGTAATTTTAGCCATTGGGCAGGACAGCATTGCTATGATGACTAATGAAAAAGCCCTTTGTTGATAATTGGGCATTGACTCTTGCCTTGTCCTTCTGCATGAATTCATACACCATACTGTCCTCCATTTACAAACTCATACTGTGGAACACACTGTCTTCTAATAGCTGCTCTTTGAAATTATGGCCTCCTTTTCATCATTTGCAGAAGCAGAATGTATTTAAATCCTTGCACTCCCAGAGTTAAGAAAGGCATTGTTCAGAGCAGGGCCATGTTGCAACAAAGGGGCAGGAAGGGTGAAGCTAGGTTCCCTGTGCTATAAATCTGAGCACTGTGGGTGTAGGATGTGCAGAGTGATAGTTTGCAAAAGGAGATGAAGATTATAGCTGTTCTCACAAAAGCAGAGCAGACTTTCCGAGTGAACAACTGTAACTGATCTTTTTAACTCTTGATTTGGATCATGCATCTAACACTGCTCACCTTTTTCCTTACAAAATCTAAGCATACCCACCACTGTTCCCCAAATGAGCCTACCTGCTGTATGAAGAATGTAGATAAATAAAAGCAATTATCCGCCTTGGTGCATTACTCTGACTTTGCCTATGACTTTTTCTTGGGTCACATTGAATTGGATGACTTAATGGCAGTGGACAACAGAAGTTTAAACAGTTGCTTTATGGAAAAACTCATTTAGATGACTGAAAACATATGTATGGTTGAGTTTATAGATTAAGAAAGGAAAAATCTGTATTTTACAGATACCATAGATGTATTTTTATAAACGTAAAGGATGTTCATACAAAGTATGTGCTATTTCTGTATTTATTTGTTTTTCTTTGTAGCAAAATAAATGCATGGTTCTCCTGGAAGCCTAAAAGCGGTATCTTTCTTCCTCACTGTATAATTCTTGATCTGAGTGGCAGGGAGTCTTGTGAACCATTTTGAGCCAATGTTAATTTTATAAATTGCATTCCCTTTTCCACTATTCCCGTGAAAAAGGTATTCAGCTAGATGAACACTCTTGGAAAATTTTAATAGGACCCTTGAAATCTGCTTGAATTCAGCTTCTTTTTAAAAAATCTCTTTCTAATGGAAGCTGTGAAAGTATCAGAGATTTTTATGCCTTAGAGGCAATTTTTCTTCCATACATAATGGTGAAACTCCACTGTTATAATATACGGGTGTTTAAAATATTCTCTTTGTAAAATTGAAGTTCCTGCTTAGAAGTATGTGAGTTGGGCACTTTTTGTTTGTTTTGTGTGACTTTTATTATTCCTATTCAGTATTCAGATGACTTTCATAGCATTTTCTGTATTTGTTTTTCAGTCTTTCCCTGGCCCAAGTCTTGAAAGTGAAGATTTCAACATACCTCCTATAACTCCTCCGTCATTGCCTGACCACTCACTGGTACACTTGAATGAGATGGAGTCTGGATACCACTCTCTGTGTCATCCAATGAACCACAATGGCCTCCTTCCATTCCACCCACAAAACATGGATCTACCCGAAATTACAGTTTCCAACATGCTCAGCCAAGATGGGACACTGCTTTCCAATTCCCTCTCTGTGGTAAGCATTTTTAGTCTTTCCCTTCTGTACTGCTGTTAAGTTGTAAAAATGTGGATATACAGACCTGGGGCCATGTCCTGCACCACTGAAGTCATGGAGTAAGGTGGTCTGGCTCTGGTTTTTACATCATTACTGACTCTGAAATATATCTCTCACTGGAGGCAGTGGGGTTTTACAGATGAATTCATCAAAGCCAGGATGATACCCACTGCCTTGATATTACCCTGCCTTACAAGGATGTAAATAATGACAAAAGCAGGCCCAATGCTTTGATTTCATTGGAGCAGGATTTGGATCCAGATGGCTGTTGTTCTGTATTTTTTCTTATGAGGCTCTTTCCATTCTAATTTGCATGTACTGAGAGATGTACAAAAATTTAATATCTTCTTTCTTGTTTACCACACGTTTGGAAAACAGCAAATGTTATTTCTGATTCTAGGCCAAATCTTATAGCCTTTTTACAGTTCCCAGTCCTTAGCCAGCCAGAATCCAATTGAAATGACTGGACGATTTGCTTATAAAATCTGTCAGATAGTCATTATGGTCGTAATCTTGGGAAGCCTGATATTATAAATCACTTCTTTGAATGTTAAATTGCTTGCAACAACTGCAGAGCTACTTTACATGTTACATTTTCAAGTGGGCTCTACAAATAATTAGTATACGTCCTGCATCCCAGCTCCAGACAAGATCTTTCTACAGAGGAGACTGTTATTTCATGTTGACATAGAATTCGAAACCAAAGAGTGAAAAATCCCATGGAAGAATATGGGGCCTGATCTTATGTGGGGCTGACATGTCTTCAGGCATTATGCTAGATGGAACTGCAGATCTAGATATACAAAGTTAAGGATTTGTTCTTTGATTTGTCTGGGCTTCTTTCCAGGAGAATCAGGAGCTTAGGGAGCTTTGTCCCATCTGGGAGGCTCTATGTGTAGACACTGAGACTGTTACACCTTCTATCTTGCTAACTCCTCACTATGTTGCCTAAAAAAAAAAATAATAAAGCAGGCCTGTGAACCTGCATGAGATCTGACAGTATGTGGAGCAGAACGTAGATATTTGGGAACTGAGAGATCTGAGCTCAGCTCTCCATTAGACCCTCAGACTAACAGTCCCAGGGACAAGCTGGGAAAGCTGTGGTGGACAAGGAACTGAGGATGTGAGCTGGCAGGAAAACAGTTAGTTTGCATTAAAAAATCTGCCTTGTCACAGGGCTTGATTGCAACTTAATTAAAATAAAGCTTCCTTGATTTCAAGGAGCTCTGCATTCCCTCTGAGGATGTCCAACAAGCTGTACTGCAGGGGGCTAGTCTTGGCTTCTTAGTGCTACTTAATGCTGCTTACTTTTTATTGATTTACAAGGATGTTGCATGCTTTGTGTTTGAGGTCAGAATCTGACCCCAGGGTTATGTTCAATAATAGGAGGTAGGGGAGAGGAAGATTTTAATGCAGAAATATAATTATTCTTTATGGAAATGTTTTGAATTTTACTTGCATTTCTACAAAACTGATAGCATACATTAAAGAACATGAGCTAAATCGTATGCAGGGTTCTCAGGATCATAACTATGAAAGGACCTGACAAAGTAAGAGGAGCTCATGACATTCCAGTCAAGACAAGCAGTATTTTATTGGATTGACCTCTTTTGAGCCATGGTTATGGCTGAAAACTATGCATTCTTTTAAGCTCTGATGTTCCACATTAACCTCTCACAACAGGCTCTGAACAAAGGGCCTTGAGAGTTTGTAGATCATCACAGTAAATTATTGCATCAAGGGCAAATAAATAAATAAATAAATAAATAAATAAAGCATAATACAACTAGACAATTTTGCTATTGGGACTTAGTGTAGGTCAGAAAAAATGAAAATCAGAACTCAGGGAAATATGTACTAAATTTAAATAGTCATTTCTCAGAATTTGGTAAATAAATAAAACATGATCCTTGAAGCATCATAGGCTAACTCCACTGTTATCCCTAACTTGCATGCCCTTTACACGTAAGAGAGATTGTTAACTAGCAATAGTTTTAGCTCAAGCTGTCTTGTCTGTCAAGGGGACTAAGCTACATCTCACATTAGTACAACTGGTAGGATGTTAACACCACAATTTTGTACAGCTCTGTTTTGCAGCATGGTTCCTCTGATGTGAATTTTATAACGAGAGGAATTAACATGAGGGAGATAATTTAAGTTAATACTTCAGTGAATTCAACGCCTGCTTCAGTGAATGAAATGGTTACATCATCCTTTTGGCCTTCCATTGTTTAATAAAGACAAGATTTTGTAGGTTTAGCATTCTTTATAATTCAGAACCTTTACATTTCTTCTTTAGTATGACTCTTTTCTCCTGCTATTACTCATCTCTAAGTTTCCTTTTTACTATCTTGCCTAGCTCTGATCCACTTAACAAGTATTTGCCTAAATCACATTTATATTGCCTCACATATAAAATAATATATAAGTTTCTCCAATCTATCTAAACCCTTGGTTTCATATAATTTCTAGTATATCAGCTATCACTTAGAGTATTTGAAAACCATATATCTTGCTTCATTTTTCAGGGCACTAATGAGTATTTTTAGAAAAAATTATTCTTAGAAATTAATCTGTTGGCTGTTCTCCATCCCCAATTAATTTCACATCTTCAGCAAATTTTACTTATACTGGAACAAACTCAGCTGCAGTGCAATGTGCATCTGATTGAATTTGTTCCTTTTTATATTTTTAATTTCAACATCTTTCCTCTTAGCCAGTTTTTAGATCTTGTTGGTATTTCAGAAATGATGCCTACCTTTTTGTCACTGTTACAACCAATGAGTGTTTTTTTTTGTAGAGAAAGCATTAATTAATGCTAGCCAAATGGGAGAAAGGAAGCACCGTGAGCTCAAAAACAAAGTAGGAAAATAATTTGTACATTGTAGCATTTCTCTTTCATCTCAAATACCAGGTGTTTTCAGATGAGGATTTCCATTATTTTGGAGAGATTGAAAATTGAGGATTTAGCTCTCCTAAAAATCCTTCAAAACTCCCCTGGTTTCATACTGTACAGCACTCCCTCCAAGCTTCAAATGAAATCCCTTTGAGTAAGGATTGCAGGATTTACCCCAAGCTCTGTAAGCATTCTCCTCTGTGGAAGTGCTTAAACACACACAATAAGAACCCACTCCTGGCTCAGTGAATTCTTATTAGGGATCAGCTTCTTACAGATTTTTTACACTGTGGGAATTCTTTCTGAAAAATTTTACAATGCTGGGAGATGAAAATTTCCCATTGCCATTTACTGTCTGACACTTAAATTCGGAATTAACCTTCTTTGAAGTTTTTTAGATTGATTGAAGTTCCTATTGCATCCCCAGTACTTTAAAATAAAATACAAAGTTGCTACAATTTCACTTTCTTAGTATTTTGCTGTCAGTTCATATATTAGCTTATATGTTTATTTATTCTTGTTTTCCTCTTAGGTGACATACTGGCATATACATACATACACACACACACTCATTTACACTGTGCTGTCACATACAGATTTCTTTTGGTGCTCGTTATATCTGATATTTGTATTGACTACTGGGGGCGGAGAAGTCTGCAAAATTCATGCAGAATATGAGTATGGCAACATTGTCCAGCCTTAGTGTGATGGTCTACATGTGGGAGGTCTTTAAAGTCCTTCTTCAAAATGGACGTGACATTTCTTGCTTCTTAAGTGTATTCAATCAGACATGGCTATAGCTGTTTAATGAAAATGTCTTGATAGCTCTGTAGGCATGTTTGTTTTTTATACAGTGGAATAATGGTCCCTTATCAATGTTCTGCACTTGAAGGTAGTCCCATGTAGGTTAGGTTCAGTTGGGTCTTGACTGACCAGTACTTCTCTGCATGAATTTTCCTGAAATATTCCAAGAACTACAAGAAATACCTTTTCAACAATTACAAATAAATGCATGTATATACTATCCATATGAGAATGTGCATTTATCTGTAAAAATGCTTCTGGATGTCTTGTACAGAATGAATTTTACTGTGTGTTCTTTTTATCAACAAAATTATAGACATTTCAGCTTCTTCAGTATATCCTGTAAATGGTCACTTTTATGGTCGCTTTTTTTTTCCTTAAGAAGCCAGGGATGAAATCAGTGTTGTTTTTATATACAGGGAAGAAAAAAAGAAGAAAAACAAAACAAAACGAAACAAAACAAACAAACAAACAAACAAATGAACAAACAAAACTATTTTTGGAATGCTTTCATTTATGACCTTTGTGCTAATCTTTTTAAAGATGTTGCTCATGATGTTATACTGTAGAAAATTTGCAAGAAAGAAATAAAAGCAATTTCAATTTCTTGGAATGCTTTACATTTCTGGGTTTGAACTTTAAAGTAGAAAAGATGTTAAAAGGCAATAAAATCAGGGGATTTATTTCCCAAATGCTTTACTTGTGCTGGCAACAAAAGCCAGCATAATGTATATACTTAGGTTTATTGTCATTTTTGGTATACAGTCAAGGCACACTTTGAATTCAAAGGCTACTGTACAACTGTTTTGACAACAACCACATCAGTAGGTAATGTGCAGGACATGAAACTGAAGTAAAAATGTTTCTTTAGGTCTATAGGGAGTGCAGTACATCAATGAATTCAGATATATTAGAGCAGCATGAATTTCTAATATGTTGCTCTTATGGAAAAGACCACTGGCATATTGAATAATGCTGGTTTCAAAGCAGAGCAGAAAATGTGATTACAGACAATTTCATTGCTGTTTTTAAAATAAATATTTTCAAAATCTTGAGGTATTTTATTTCATGTAATACATAAAATATGTAACAGTGGACTAGAGCTAAAGATCTTCTAGGACACCAAAGAGTAGGTGATGTCAGCTATAATTATTCAGATGTGGAATAATAGAAGCATTAGTTTAAAATAAAATGCATGTCACAAAGGCCCATGTCCTTCTATACAAAAAAAAAAAAAAAAAAAAAAAAGCAATAAAGAGCT